TCTATTCCAACCTCCTCATTTTACTGATGAGGAAACTGGGGCCTAGGGAGAGAAAATGATTTGCCCAAGGTCACATACAAAAGTCAAGAGTCAGAACCCAGGTTTTCTGCCTCTGGGTCCACTGTACAACTTGGGAGATAGGTCTTTTGCTGGTGAAGCATTCGCTCACCTCACCCCTCCATACACATACACACACACACATACACACAACACACACACATGCACATATACCCACGCCTGCATAGACACGCAAATGCACAATACGCACACATATATACACAAACATGCACATATACACACTCGTGTGCACACACACTTCTCAGTCCTCCTTTGGATCCCCAGCCATGCTCCTTTCTTTTGCTTCTCCCGAGGGCACCAGTAATTGGGCCATCTGCTTCTCTTCCAACCAGCCTCTCACACCTCTGACCTGGGGGCTCAGCTCTTCTCTTGCCCTCCAGTTTCTGAAGCTGGCAAACAGTTCCTTTGAGGTTTCTTAAGGAAAGTCAAGGCTACTAACTATAGGGAATGGGTTAAAAAAAAATTGCCTCCTGTAAGCCCCATTCCCTTCCCATAGGCTCCTAAGGAATGCCAAAGGGCCCCCAGGGTGTTAGCATGGGGCTTTTGAATATCTAAGCAAGCTCCATGGGTATTTCAGAAGCAGTCGTCATAGGCAATAAGGTGAAGAGCAGGATGGAGTCTTTAAGCTGTGGCCAGAGGCAGGGCTGTTTCAAGATGCTGCCTAGGAGGCTAGGGGGAAGGGGGTGGGAGAGAGGCCCCTGGGGTTTACCCTCCCATCAGCCACCAACCTTGATGACCCAATCCCAGCTTTGGACCAGCACTGGATTGAAGTGCCAACTCCTGGCAAGGCATCGTAGTGGATTGGGGATCAGAGGACTCCAATTCCAATCTTGCCTTTGTCACTTACTAGCTGTGTGACTTCAGACAAGTCACTTACCCTCTGTGGGTCTTAGTTTCTTCAACTTAAAAATGAGGGGGCTGGACCCCATGGCCTTTAAGATCCCTTCCAGCTCTAAATCTGTGACCTCTGATCTTAAGTTTGGGTCAATCAACCAACAAATATTTATTAAGTTCCTACTGTCTACAAGTCAGTGTCTAGATTTACCAAGACAAAAGCAAAACAAGGTAACAGAGAGCAGTGCAGTCTCCTGCTAGGGGTTGGGAAGAAGAAAGGAGCAGTAAAAGTGAGGTTCTGGGGTCCTCTAGCCCGCCCCCACCCCAGCGCAGGTATCTCTTCCTGGATGGCCCCTTTTTCTCTGCCGAGTTATGTATATGGAAGCTGGGGGACTCTCTGCAGTGGGATCCCTAGTGGCATTAAGTTGTTTTCTGGGGCGGACTGAAGTCATTATGTGTCAGGGTCCTCACCAGCTTCATTGTTGCTGGCTAATAAGGCTTTTGTTCAATTAATCATGTGTTTATCACTAAGTGAGGGTTTTTTTTTTCAATTTGAATGATTAAATATATATGGCTCCTTTGTTGACTATTATTAGTGCTTCTTGATACTCTAAAGAAAAACACTTTCCCGATGAAGGCATGGAAGCCTGTGAAAAAGATTTTTTTCCCTCACTGTTATATTAACACACCATCTCCCCAAAGTCACATAGCGTGCAAAGCATTAACGCACATGTAATTCAGTACTCTGTTATCCCTTGTTTTCGGACAGCCTTGAAATCTCTCATTTGTCTCTGGAGCTTAGAGAAGCACCTTGGGAGTCAGCACCCATGACGGAGAGTTTCACCATCTGCCTTCCTTCCCTATCCTTCCTCTCTCCCCTCTTCAAACCTTAGCATATTTGCAATTAAAGAAGCATGGAGATTAACTGCCGAGAAAGCAGAGGGCTTTCGCTCTCACTCCCAGGCATTTATTTGCTATTCTCAGCACATTGATTTTCAAAGAAAAAATAAACACACACACACACACACACACACACACACACACACACAAAACACCAACACAAGGAAGGAGGAGAATTTCCCCAATTCACATCTAATCCACAAGGGTCATTTTGTTTGACTCGGTTTAGTTTTCTAACAGATGGCTGGCAGAGATGGATACTGATGGTGAATCGTGTTTGAAAGAGAAATTGGATTCAGTCCAGTTCAACTCTTAAGAAAACCAGAGACATTGATTAAGCATCTACTCTGTACCATGTGCCAGATTCTGGGGATACAACTACAAAAATGAACCGTGTCTTGGCTTCAAGGAGTTTAGCTTCTAATGGGGAGAGAGTTCAGTTGTTTTTTAGTCATGTCCAACTCTTCCTGACCCTATTTGGGGTTTGCTTGGCAAAGATACTGGAGTGGTTTGCCATTTTCTTCTCCAGCTCATTTTACAGATGAGGAAACTGAGGCAAGCAGGGATTAAGTGATTTGCCCAGGTTACACAGATATTAAGTGTGAAGTCTCATTTGAACCCAGGAAGATGAGTCTTCCTGACCTCAGATCCAGCACTCTATCACTACGTCACCTAGCTGCCCGATATATGGAGAACTGTTTTTTTTTTAATGAGGTAACAGGGGAGCTTGGACAGGAGTAATTGGAGGGATCAAGAAGGGCTTTGTATAGATCGTAGGGTTTGAACTGAGTTTTACAGGAAGTAGGGGATTCTACCAAGCTAAGGTGAGGAGGAGAACATTATGAAGCACTTATGTGCCAGCAATGAAGGCAAGGGAGGATAGGCAAAGGTTTGAAAGTCCCTGCCCTCCTAGAGCTTCCATTCTACTGAAGGCAGTAAGAACAGAGAAGCAAATGCAAAACACATACAAGTAAACATGAAGGAATGGGAGGGTGGGGTGGGGAGGGCAGTGTATTGACTTAAGGGGGGAAGGGAGGGATACAGCAAGTCTTCATTTGGGGGGCAGCAGTTGAGTTCAGCTTTGAAGGGAGCGAGAGCATGCTGGGCATGGTCATAGATGTAAAGTCCTGGGCTGGCAACCACACAGAGGCCTGTGTTTGTACTTAGTTGCTCTACATGGGGCAGCTAGGTGGTGCAGTGGATAGAGCTCCAGCCTTGGAGTCAGGAGGACCTGAGTTCAAATCTGACCTCAGACACTTGACACTTACTAGCTGTGTGACCCTGGGCAAGTCACTTAACCCCAACTGCCTCACCCCCCCCCAAAATTGCTCTACATGATAGTGAAACTTCTCCCCCTAAAACCTTGTAGTTTGGGCATTTTTTTCCCAAACTACATCAGCAAAGTGACTGCTTTTAATAATAACAAAGAGCATTTTTGTAGTGCTTTAGGAGTTCCAAAAATATTCACTCATTATAGCCTCAAAACAGCCCTGGAAGTAGTTGTTATTATTTTCTCCTTTTCACAGATCAGAAAACTGAGGCAGAAAGAGGTTAGAGGGTTCCACAGCTAGTAAGTGACTGAGATTGGGAATAGCAAAGAGGCCAATGTTTTAACTAAAATTGCTTTACATTATAGTCATTTTACTCATTGTTTGTACATAGATGATTTCACAGCTCAGAACCTCTTAGAAAAACGAGAATAGTATTGTTTCCAAGTAGTGTTATTTCCATTTTACAGATGAGGAAACTGAGGCTGAGGGGTTAAGTGCTTTGCCCAGATGAATCCCAGGGATCCTATTCAGGCTTCAGGGTCTCAATTGCTCAGCCTCTAGGAAGGCCACAAGGAGTACAAAGCCCCACAGATGTCCTCAGTTTTCCTTCTCTGTGGCCCGATCCAGGAAACAGCCCTAATCATTCTTCTCAGGCTTAGGGACTGCGGTTCTTTTTGGCAGTGAGTGTCATTGATGTCATCCAGCCAACACTTGGAGAGCAGGGCTGTTCTCACTCATAGAACCCACAGGCTATAAATCCAAAGCATTAAAAAGTCTCTAAGAAAAGGGTTTAAAATAAACCTTCTTTTCACTAACATACGTACTGTCAGGAGACCCAGGTGGCTTTGGGGTCATTTCTCAAATGATGAAAATAAAACAAGATGATTCCTGTAAATCAATCATTTTTTCTCACACCATCCTCAGAGGGCTGAGCCGAAAATATCCACTGCTCGAGAATGCTTTCCTTGGCAATGAGAGAGAGCATGGTCCTGTGCAAGGGATGCTGGATGCAGAGGCTTAGGCTCTGGGTTCAAGTCCTGTCTCTCTCCCTTGCTACTTGGATAACCCTGGGCGAGTCACCAAGACCCCAGAACCACATTGTAGTCCTCCCCATTGTAGGGGTGGTGGTCTAAGTAATATCTGAAGTCTTTTCTAACTCTAAATAGGTGAACCTGTGAAGAAGGGGGAAATGCTCAATTCTTCTGAAATGATTATTTGTTGATGATAGATTCTAAGGATCCTGAGATGAGAAAGGAGGACCAGGGGTCGTTTGGTCAATTCCTCTGCCTCCAAGGAATACAAGGAAAGGAGGGATTACAGAAAGAGTAGTGGCCGCACAGGAGTCAGAGGATTCTGATGCGCTCCAGCCATGTGACCTTAGGAAGTCCCTGTAGTCTGCGGGCCCCAGTTTCCACATCTCGATACCATGGGGTGTGACTAGATGACTCCAAAGGTTGCTTCCTGCTCTAATCTGTGACTCCAAGTCCTATATTACAGATGAGGAAACTGAGGCTCAACGAGGTTAAATTCTTTGCCTAAGGTGACACAGCACCTCCAGTCCGTTTGCCACACCGCCTCTCTAGTGGACCAGTAAAAAGAGGGAGTATGGGGCCTGGGGGCAGGGGGAGTCTCTCTCCTCCAGGGAAGCATTAACTTGACTGTGAATTGGTACAGAGAAATCTTCTTGTAGCCCTCCAATTTCCTGTTTCTTTTTGGGTCTTCTTGGGAGCATCCTAGATTCAAATCCTAATTCTGCCCTCTTACCATTCAAGTGACCTTGGGTGAGTCCCCTCATCTCTCTGGGCCTCAGTTTCCTTACCTGTAAAATGGAAAAGTTTTGTCTAGATGCCTCTAACTGTGCGATCCTAGTGGAGACCGTAGTTTTACATTAATCCTTTCTTCTTATTCTCTCATTAGGAGATCTTCCCATGCATCAAGGACTTAACAAGTGAAATGTTCACAAACTTCCTGAAGCACCTTTGCCTGTGTGCAGATGACTTCTGGGAAATAGTGAAACATGACAGGTGGAGGCAAAGGTTTTTAAATCTCTTCCTGGTCTGTGATGTTGGAAAGGTAAGCTACCTGAGGACTCTCCTCTGGTCTCTGGGCCCAGCTCTTTCCTATTCCCATGCTGGTGGATCGTAGGGTCACAGATTGAGAGCTAGAAGAAGCCTTAGAGCTAGTCTGAGCCCCTCATTTTACAGATGGTGAAAGGTAGGCCCGGAGAATTTAAGTGACTTGCCTAAGGTCACACGACTGGTAAGTAGCAGAGTCAGGCCATGAACCTGAATTTTCTGGCTCCACCTCCAGCATTTCCACCGTACTACCCTGTCTCTCTTGGATTATCAATTGCTTTCTGTTAATTTCTGTGCTGGCAGAGCACTTTTCCTAGGGGAAATGCATCCCAGGGAATGTGGGAAAAAACTGGAAGCCAAATGGGTGCTCATGGCTGGACAAGCTTCAGTGCTAGCAATGTAAGAGAGTATTCCTATGACGTAGAGGATGATAAGGATGAGGAATCTGGGAAAACATGGGCAGCTGTGGATGAACAGAGCCAGAGAAACATGAGCAGAAGTGGGACCCTGTGCTCAGTAACAATGATGTGAATGAAGGGAACATAGAGAGGAAGTTAAACCCTGAGTAATTCTACTCACCAGTCTTTGTCTCAAAGAACAGATGAGACATACCTCTGTCCTTTTGGCAGACAGGTGGAGGACTCCTGGGGCAGAATGGTGAATACATTGTCAGATACAGTCCCTCTAGATGTGGTTTTTGCTTAACTGTTTTTCTTTGTTGCGACTGCAAATTCATTTCTGGGGAATGCTGAGGAAGCACATTATATCCAGAAAACACGGACAGAAAAACCAAAGGCATCAATTAAACATACAGAAAAAAATAAGGGACCACTGAGGCTAGAAAGCATGTCTTCAGAAAGAGCCCAAGGAGAGGATAAATGTGTTTTCATCAGGAAAGGATTTGCAGGGTTGTGGTTTGGGAGGGCGTCTGCGGACCTTGAATACCAGATGGCCTTGGAATAGTTCCGATGCAAATGTCGTGGAAATAGCTTATTGTTATATGGACATGGTTGCATTCTGAGAAAGAACCAGTAGGCAGATTCAGGCTTCCACCTCTCGGTGTCCAGGAAGAGATTTCCAGGGGGAGTCACCAATCTGTTTTGCCCATTCCCTCATCTGCACCTTCCTAGAAGCTTGGGCTCTCCGTTGCCGAGGAGTTCTGGGACCTTATTTGGCGGCTTGCTCAGGGCTCTCAAATGACAAAAAGCAATGTGCCAAGAACGCTTCAGTAAAGGCTGAAGCAAGTCTTTCCAGACCATAGAACTGTCCCTTTGAAGGCTTCAGGTGCCTTCTTCAAATGCAGGAGACCAGGTAAAATGTGATTCCCAGGTTCTACTCCTTCTGTTTTGGTGCATGTTAGAGAAGTATGGATGCTGTAGTTTTTTTGTTTTTTTTTTCCTGCACCACATTTGTGATTTCATTGGTTCGGATATAACAGACTCTTGCCTTCCTTTCCCAACCTACATGTGTCCCAGTTGATGGAGTTCACAGAGCTAAGCTGGCTACAACTCTCCCACAGAGAGTGGAGCGGGGAGGAATCTCCCTAAGAGGTTGGACTGATTCTTCTCTCTTGCTATTGTGTTGAAACTCTATCCCCCCACTCTGGTATATTCCTTTCCACTGTTATCTGCCAGTAATTAGCACCCCAGTTTCATTTAATCAATCGACAGTAATTAGTTTTTACAAAGAGATATTTACTGCAAAAAAAAAAATATTTACTGCAAAACGTATATAGCAAGAACAGAAACTACAAACTTTCCCCTCATCACCTGGGTGATACATACATTTTCCCCTTATACCACAACCCCTAGGAAGAATGGGCGCACACATAGCAGAGTTTCTACACAACCTCCTCCCTCCTCCCCTCCCCAGTTCCACTTCTGAATGAGGCACGGCTGATAGAGGAGTGAGTCTGTATCTCTGCTGCTCCTGGCTGGGATCAAGCAAGTTGCTTGGGACTTATTTCTTTACCATCTGTCTTCCAAGAATTGTCAGCATGACCTTCAGCTCCCTGACCTCTGGTGTCTCATCATTCTGACCTTTCCAAGCACAGCATACCCATCTCTGATCTGCTTCACCCAAAGGCAGGGAGGTATACACACATCAGAGACAAAAGTATCAGCTGGACTGTGTGCCCTCCTGCCACATGGCCCTGGTGGGGAAATAAAGACTTGAGGCCTCTGTCCCCACTGAGGGCGTCCCTGCCTAAGTACGTGGGTTATGAAGAAAAGAACGAATACCGTGCCTGCCCTCAAGGAGCTTAAATTCCAATGGGGGAGACAACATATAGGAATCAGAATAATATAGGATTAAATATGGTGTAGAGGGAAGGTAATCTTAGAGAGGATGGTGCTGGGTATCTCAGACATCTCAGCATACACTCAGGAGCCAACGCTGAGCAGAACTGCTTGTGAGATTATTTTTAAAGAATATCTTTTGGCTGATGCAATTGTGTGTGTGTGTGTGTGTGTGTGTGTGTGTGTGTGTGTGTGTGAGAGAGAGAGAGAGAGAGAGAGAGAGAGAGAGAGAGAGAGAGAGAGCTGATCTGTTCTCCAGGTTGTTCTTTGCCTCAACATGCCCTGCTGAACCTCAGTCTGGAGAAGTGCAGGTAATTCATACAGGCAGCAACAGCTTGAGAATGATCCTACCTGTGGTGGTGGTTTGGTGAAGTAGAGCTGAGCTGGTTTGAACCCTCATTTGCATTTGCTTGATGACAGAATAATGAGTCTGCGCTGACCTTCTTTGTCCCTACAGCCAGGTGCAAGGTGGATTGCAGGCAACTCCCAGATGGCAAGGAGGAGTTTTATTGCCATTTTTTAAAAATCCCCTAGCCATTTGGATGCGACTTTGTCTGTCGGTCTGCCCGTCTTTACAGTTCCACATCTGGCACGTGTCAGGATTCCTCTTTCCCTGGGGTGGTTCTTTCCACCATCTCCAGGCATCTTTATCTATATCTGGCCACTGGACCTGGATAGCTCCAGAGGAGAGAGTGAGGCAGGTGACTTTGCACAGCCCTGCCTCAGTTAAATGCAATTCACTTGGCAAGTCATGACATCACCTTCCTGATGTTACGGTCCTCTTCTGAGAATGAAGGACAAACAACAACAATCCTTGCACACACTGAGTCGGGGCTGAATGCTGCTAAAATATAGTTCCTTGTCCCTTGACAGCTCAATTCCGCAGTGACCAGCCCTCCATTTGTCTGGCTCTCTCCCTTTGGCCATACTCTTTGGTTTTCCTTGATTGTTTTAGTATTTTTATTTGTAATTTTTTTTTTTATTTTGAACAAATACAAAATGGGGGGGGGGGAACATTGCCATGTACACAGCAAACCATGAGAGAGGATTCAATATAAAACAATAAGTTTCCATTTCAAGAAAACCTATATAAGTACTGCACATTGTTTTCAAAGCTGCCCTGCTTTTTTTTTTTTTGCTTCCTTTTTGATTTTCTTTTGTTCTCTGCTGTGCATTTTTTCTTAGGATAGGCAATGGGGTTAAGTGACTTGCCCAGGGTCACACAGTTAGTAAGTGTTATGTTCCTGAGGCCAGATTTGAACTCAGGTCCTCCTGAATCCAGGGCCAGTGCTCTATCCACTATGCCACCTAGCTGCCCCATCTGCTATGCATTTTTTACTTCATTTTTTCTCCCTCAATCCCTCCACCACTCTAAAGAAGACTACAATTAAGTGTGGTTATATGTATATATACATAGATATCTATAAACATACACACATATACACATATACACTCATACACACATATGTAAAACCACTATTTCCTCCTATCATCTGTTTCTCTGAAGGTGAATTGCATGTTCTTTCATAAGTCCAAGTCTTTCCATGTTTTCCTAAATTAACCAGCTCATCATTTCCTATACCACAGCAGTATTCCAACCCAATCACATCCTGTCTGAGAGATTATCTATGAAAGTTTTACCCCCAATTTTCTGCATTCCTTCTATTCTTGGCTACATAGGTTTTATTTACACAAGAAAAAATTTAACTTAAAATAATCAAAATTATCCTTTTTACACTTCAATAATGCTCTCACCTTAGAATATAATTTAAAATTCATACTGCTGAATCTACTTCCTCTATATCTTTTCCCCATGGTTTCTTTGAGGTTCCTGACCATTCTTCCAAATGAACTTTGTTATTATTTTTTCTAACTCAGTAAAATAATTTTTTAGTAATTTAATTGATATGACATTGAATAAATAGATTAGTGAGGTAAAATTGTCATTTTAAAAATTATATTGGCTTTACCTACTCATGAACAATAAATATTACTTCAATTATTTAGATCTGAGTTTATTTATATAAAAAGCATTTTATGTTTATGTTCATGTAGTTCCTGTACGCTCAGGTATTTTATACTGTCTAGGTATTTTAAATGGTCTAAAACAATTTTGAATAATATTGCTGACACATAGTGTATGTAAGTTTCTCTATTTTTCACTTTTGATTAAATCTATTTTAATTTTAACTTTGTCTGAGATCATGATTACTGTCCCTGCTTTTTTTACATGATAAACTCTACTCCTGCCCTTTATTTTATCTTTGTGTATATCTGTCATTTTTTAAATGTTTCTTGAAAGCAACATATTGTTAAATTCAGATTTTTAGTCTGCTATCCATTTCCATTTTATGGGTAAATTTGTCCCATTCACATTCTAAACCACAATTACTTGTGTATTTTCCTCCTTCCTATTTTTCCTTGCTTTCCTTCTCATCCTATTTACCTTATCCCTCCTCATTCCTCTACTTTACTTCTACCTGCTACCTCGCTGTTCTACTCCTTAACCTACCCCCCTCTAAGAGTCTGTCCCTTATCCTCTTCCCCAGCCCTATCCCCTTGTCCTCTTATTTCTTTCTGAATTTAGGAGACTTTTATATATACATACATACATACATACATACATACATACATACATACATACATATAAGTGTTGTTCCCTCTTTAACTCATTCCCAATGACAGTAAGATTCTAGCGCTA